CAACTGTGAGGCAAGGGTGCGTTTTGGAGCCTTTTGATGTGGAATCGTTCTATAGCAACGTTTCCAAGGACGCCGCTATGCAATTGACATTCGAACTTCATATAGAACACCAGTCGTCACTTAACCTCTAATGTCTTAGCATAAGGGGCATCTGTCGTTGATTAAGCAATGCCTCAATTGCTCCTTCTTTCGTTGATGTGGCAACTATTACAGGCAAATAAGAGGACTGGCGGGGGACAAAGACTAGCGTCGAATTTAGCGATTGTTTTCATGTCCAAGGTGGAAGTTCTGGAACTTGCAACTAAACCTCTCCTCTACTGTCGGTACGCGGACGACTGCTGTATCGTGTGTCCCACTCAGACCAAACTTGATACTTGCTTCACATTTTGAATGCCTAGGACGTCAACATCAACGGAATAGGAAAAAACCCAAGATGGGTGGCTGCCGTTCTTTAATGTACAGTTATGTTTGTCGGAGAGATGTTTTGAGACCAAATGGTACCGAAAGCCGAGCAGCAAGAATATCTTAGTACACCACCGTTTCTCAGCACATCCGGCACGATTTAAAGCACTCATCAAAGAAAAACATGTTCAGAACGGCTGCGGGGGTCTCTTCTGATAGAGACGAAAAGATGAGCTCGCTGGAACTCCCACGATCCCTAGCAAGATCTAGTGGATGCAGCACAGAAACTCATGGCCCTCACAAATACCGGGTTCATCGACCTAAATCAGAAGCTGAAGATCAATCAGATCCCATTTTTTACCATACATCTCAGAAGAGTGTAGTAGGGCTGTTCGCAAAAGGCCCCATCAAGCAGATATCAATGATATGGTAAGGATCGTCGGCATACCTTAAGCAGCAACTGGTACTAAACCGCAAGTATGACCGTCTCTGCACAACTCCTCATTTGTAATTTGCCCGTTTGACAAGGAATGAGACTGTATGGTATCAGGTGTTGTCTACCTCATCACGTGTACAACACGTGGAGACACGCATATTGGCGAGACGGGCCACCCTATGCACGCACATCAAAGAACACTTAGATGGTCTCAGCAAGGGCAATGTAGCTACTCCGTTAGGCATGCATCGCAGGCTCAGCCTTAACGACGCGAAGGTGGGAGTGCAGGATCGAATCCTGGTGCGTGCCGAAATTCTAGCGCGCAAGACATTCGACAGACATTTGGATAGCCGCTCAAAATCCAAAAATGAACCGTAAGGACGAGTGCTTAGCTATTACTAACAATACTTTGTAAGTGCCACTATCAGAGCCTTTGTGGTTAGGTCAGGACCGGGTTACTAGATAAATATAAAAGTGATGCAGTACAGTTTTTGACATTAGTAGTCTGCACCTACCAATTATCTGTTAAGGTGAGCCTGGCTTAGTCTTGCGTTTTGGTTGACACTGTTGCTTTTCTAAAGGGTTGTGCCCTTTTCTGTAGACGACAAGGTGTTTTATCGTATGGTTCAATTATGTGTTTTCTACTTTCCAAACTCTGAAGAAAGCGAGTTTGCCGAAACATCCGTCTGTATATTGTGGTATAAGTATCTGTACCAATCTTGGACGCTGCTAAAGAAATCAACTAGAACATTCGTCTCGATATAGCTGTGATCATAACATCCGGAACCTCGCCCAGGATCATTTCTGTCTTATACTCAGGTAAAGGTTGTTGTTATTTTTGTTTTCTTTTATGCTGCAAAATTGAAGGTTAACAGAGTACACTGTATCGAATTTATGGATTGGAGCCAAAGCAGAAGAATGGAACTACTGAGACATCGAGCAATCTCTAACTTTGGCTGGTGACGTGTTCGTTCCCTGTTAGTTCAGTTAAGCGATTCCCATGTCCACCGGCGATGTTCTTTCTTCATGAAGATGGCATCCCCATGTGAAAGACGTACTGCGGAGAGAAGCCAACGAGAAGGTTGCCGTTTTCATTCCGAAGCCCATATCCAAACTGCCCGATCCTGTAATGCTTTTCTAGTGCATCTCAACTTTCGCGTTGAAGTCTCCCACAACAAAGTTGAAGGAGTTCTCGTTGCAGACAGTTTTCTCTGAATCGTCAGCTGTTGATGTTAGCAAGTTGCAATTGATAATGATGGTGGTCTTCTGACGTAGAGTTCGTGACCTTAGGATGGCTAAGGTGATAGGATCTCATACAAATGGACACAAGATGGACGATAGATTGGTGGACGACGAAGCCAACGCCTCCAAACGATTGATGAGGGTCTCATCACTCATCTGACGCACTCCTTCCTCCTAGAGTTCCTTTTTTGCAGAGCGATGATGTGGTACTTGATGTACTCTGCAGCATCGAAAAGATCGTGGAGGTCGGCGTTTGTGGAATCTGTCTTGATGTTGTAGGTGCGAGTCAGGAGGCAGTCTACATGGCATTTATCCGAGCAGAATGAGGTAGTCTACGTGGCATACATCGACACAAAACCGATGCAGAAAATTCTGCTGTAAAAAGATGGCTTATTCTTAGACAAGCTTGTTTTGTTGAAAGACTATGGCCATTGAAAAGGAACATGGGAAAACTAAATTCAAGGGGATTAGCACGTAAACGGAAGCTTTGGGAGACCACGTATGCTAGCCCTTTTGGATGGTCTCATTCTGTTCAACACAAACTTGTCCAAAACTTCTTAACTTGGTTTTTTTATCGGAGAAGTATATGCATTACCGAAACTTGGCCCAAGTAGAATCAAGTCAAGAAATATAAGCATGTGAGCGGAAGCCTTAGGAGTTTCCCTGATTTTATCGCTTAAAAAGCTCAGAAACGAATCGCAGTTCTTATCTGCACCAAATACTTTGCTCTTGTTGAAACCTTACACCAGCTGCGTAGTTTGCACCCAATCCTTAGCATTCATACTATACGCATGTAAAAATTTGAGAAATTGAAGTGTGTATGTGTATGTATATGTGTATGTTTATGTGTGTATTCTGTATATGTGCTTATGTGTATGTATATGTGTACAGGGCTTATCAAATTAAGTGTTGTTTGCGTCGGCATTTCCATCTTCGCGCAGGATTCTGCGTCTCTTTTGCGGAACATGCTCCCTAATCATTGCCAATCAATTGAGACTCCGCCTTTTCCACGCTCACCCTGGGAAAGTGCTCAAAGAGCAGGTTCCGCGAAAGAGACGCATAGTCCAGCGCGAAGATGGAAATACTGGTGCAAACGACACTTAATTTAATAAACACTACATGTCAGTGGCGGTCGCAGGATTTTGGGCCGGGGGGGGGGCAAAAATTTTTTTCTAATGAAGGTGCGTGGCGTAGCCACGCTCTCCGAAAAATTTTTATGCTTCTCAAAATTTTTGCGGGTCCCCAACCCCTAAAATCTGGAAAAAGGGGGCGTGGCGTCAGCCACGCTCCCGAAAAAAGAATTTTTTACAAGGCTAATTTGAAATTTTGAAAAATTTGAAAAATTATTTCAATTGTTTACAAAAATAAACAAGTCATTTGAGCATTTTTATAACCCATGTAAGTAAATGCTAAAAATTTCGCGACCCATTCTCGGGGGGGGGGGTTGGTCCGCCACTGCTATATGTGTATTTGCATGTGTGTGTATGAGTATGTGTATGTGTATGTGCATTGAAAAATTCCACTTCTGAGCCGATTTGAATCAAACTTTGAGCACGTGTACTTCGGAAGAAGGGGTGGGGGGGGGGGTCTACGGGCTGAGAGTTGACACAGGGGGTAAGTACGCATGCTGATTGCGAGTACAATGTGTAATTTCAGAATTATCAAATATCTTTGCAGATTCCAACGAGTTTTCTTTTGCAAAATTTAAGCGAGGGACTGGGAGTTGGCCCGGGAGAGGTGAGTGACCACGCTGATTATCCATTACTTCTGCTGATTGTATCGATTCTTTCAAAGTTTGAATTGGAGGCTAGGAGTCAGCCTAAGAGCATAACGATTACAGAAACATAGTGGAGGAAGGTTAGTGGCATATGGAGGTGGGAACGGGCCAAAGGATGTTGTACGGAGATGGGGCATGATTTTTCTATCATAGTGTGTTGACTGAGCCGAACGGAGCCGGATATGCCAGCTTACTAAGGCCACCATTTCTATCTATAACATTTTTCTGTCACTGTCCCGCTTCTGAGTGGCAGTTTTCTCTTTCCACCATGCTTTCTTAATCAGCATGCACATTTACCTCCTCCTCCCCCCTTTAACACTCACAGCTTTTCAAAAAAAACTTTACAAAAGATCGAATAAATGCAATAAGTGTTCTTCAACCCAATCTTGATCTCGTTATCACCCTGCTCACTTAAAGGCAGCGTCCAGGCAAGTCTGGACTCAAATCTGGACTTACGTGGAAATATTTTGGGGCCATAACTAAGACACTGCCCAAGCGGCAGCGCAAAGGACTCATTAGCGGCTGAGATATACGCCTCCAAACTGGACCCCAGGATCGTATCTTGCATGAATTCATGGCGCAACTATCAGTTTCGCGCAAGGACGCACGCACGCGAAACTGATGGGTTGCGCATTGAATCCTTACGAAGTACGATGCTGGGCCGATTGGGTAGTTGCTTAGTTAGGGCCCCAAAATCACTATCCATGTGAGATCCCCATATGTCCAGGTTTGCTTGAACGCTGCCTTTCCCCCAAAACGACATGCGCAAGGAACCGATGATATCAATAAATATAAACGTAAATACCGAAACTCGCCCGAGTGTTTTTTTAAGTGGATAATCAGTTGCAGCCGAAAAAAAGGAAACATCTGAGCAAATGAACCTAGAACAAGATTTCCGACTATTTAAATTCCACGCAATGCCAAAAGACACCGCTGTGAGCTGCAGGTGCTCGTGATGACTGTCTGCGTTTCTAAAAGCATTTTTACAACAGTAAAGATGTGCTTGAAATTATGTCTCCAAAATGCTTGCTTGATTTTGGGCATTGTTTTGAGTATTCGAAAAGAACACGATGCATAAGACACATTGAAAGAATACACCAGAGACAGTCAGCTGAAGGCAAGTACGCTGCATAGCCACGCACGCTACATACGCTGCTTTGTAGCGTACGTAAGGCACGTAAGCTTTTTTCCACCTTCGCAGTCAATGCATAGCAAATCAACAACGGACCTACTGTCGTCCTCAATTCGATAAAGGTAACGAGCTTTAGTGAACAGGTCGAACTCTTTGATAGAAACGCTACCAGAGTATCCTCTGCAATTTGTAAGATAAAAACACTCAAAACATATAGGCTACTGATGACGAAGGCGGAAGCGATATCAGTTAAGCTGCGAACGTGACGCGAGCGTATCTCTGCCGTTCTCATGCGCTCTGGGCTAAAAAAGCAACGTTCGCGCCCAAAGATATTGCGTCTTCGTCACAGCAGTCTATATACTTTGCCCAGTGAAAACCGGTAAACTCAACCTGCTGTCTCCATCAACCACTTCGAACACATGTCCGCTCTAAGACTATGGATGTTGGCACGGTGAAGTAGTTGAGAAAAGACATACGTTATTTTGGATGATTTCAAGTAACTCAAGGAGTTCTTTTTGCTGTACGTCGCCCAGCTCCTTATTGACGAATCTGCAAAAACTCGAATCATGTACCTCCCTTCTAAAAAATATAACCTACATTCTAGTTTTATTTTGGTACTGCTTGCTTCGCAGTGGAATGCCTGTCAATTTTGGTAAATTCTCCTTTCCCGACATGCACCGCTCTGGCTGCTAAAACGAACACTAGATGTTTTCTTTGATTTTCTTCGATTACTTCTTTGCTATTGTCAACTCTACCGCCCAAATTTTTGAATCTTCTTGGAAGGGTTTTTGCAGAGTGTCTCTCGATAGACACAGTTCTATAAACTTATGAGAGAGTTCAACTATATTATTTGATTCACAAAGTGGGATCTTATTCAGCCTTAAACCTTTACAAAAAAGATTTTTGATATGTTGCATGCTCAACTCATGATTCAAAGCGAACAAATGGTGAGCTGCGTTCAACGGAAAAACAAAACGAATTGGCCAAATGTATGAGTAGAGCGAAACCTTTTTGAGCTCTCCCTCGTCTCTGTTTATATATAAAAACCAAAAATGAGCTAAATAAGCTAAATATTAGGTTGATGCAAAAGGAATGGCCGATTTGCGAATTCTCACTTTGATGTGCTATAACTTTCTAAAAGATCCACATTTCTAAATGCGGTAAAGACCCGCAGAAGCAGCAAACCTTTCGCAATACAGCGCATACTTATTTATACTCACACCATAAACGGGAAGAGAAATACGGCTAAAAGAAAAAGGTTCTTCTGCGGGAACCTTGTTTTTGACAATTTATAACTTTCTTCAAAGTTTCTTAGTATGAATGACAAGTGAACTATCTTGTAGCCACAAGCCAGTAGTACAAAATACAATAAAAAGAATTCGGACAAAAAAGTTTGCGAGAAAGAAAAAATTGAAAACTAAAATTTCTCAGTTTTTTCAACATTTTTTCAGTGTGCCTCAAAGTCCGGAATATAGAATTTTCTGATTTTCTACGTACTGAACAGCTGGATGTTTTTGCAAAAACTGCTAGTAAATGTCCTAGCTCCAACGCTTACAGAATTGAGCAAAGCTTCGGCGACTGACTTCCTCAGAAGAAAATTATGGGTCATAAAATGACCGCAACAGCTACCCATGTTTAGGCGCCGATATTTCAGTCTGGATAACTTCACAGAATGCATTTAACTATGCATAATGTAGAAAATTTCTATTACATACAATAGCTAAATTTTCGAAGAATTCCCATTGATACGCGCTTGAATTCTGGCCGGAAAAGTGAATGCAATGAAATTCTGAATTTGGATGAGGTTATTTGAAGCTCAGTAACTTTATAAGAGATGAGGATGAGAGCCCGTTTCAAGCACTATTAGATAGGGCATGAAAACAGCTTCAGACAATATACTACATCTATTGTAAAGAAGAAGTATTGATGGAAAAAGTTGCCCTGAAAAAAGGCTTTAAAAATCGGCCATTTCTTTTGCATCAACCTAATAAATAAGCTAAATAAGCTCTTACCTAAATAAGTTTGATAAGAATGCATGTTTTTTGAGTTTTCGACTTTTGGAGACTTATGCTAACTTAGTGAAACGTAGTCCAAAATTTATTGATCGGAGATTGAAGAACTTAGATGATTCAAGAACTGACAAAAGTTATATACATGAAGTGAAAATTAATCTTTTGATCTCCTGCAACTATAGTAGGTCAAGTACCCCGATTTTACGCTTCAAGACAGAGACATGCGATTGCAGCACGATTTACGGATCTCCGAGCCTAACTGGCATTTCGAAAAAACAAGCTATTACATAGAGAACGAAATCATTCCTTGCGAATTCGCTAGTGATAATTACCAAGTTTGCCGTCTTTGTAAATACGTCCAAAAGTGCGCAGTCACTTGCCCTGAGTCTTGTTCTTTGCGAATCAAAAGGACAAAGGCAAAACGAGGTCAAGGTATATGAATATACGTCTATATACTACACTCTTTCAAGACTTTAAGGCGTATCTTCATCTCGTATCGGCATGTTGATGAAATTGAGGTTTTTGCGACACCACAAATATAAGATACAAGTAATGGTTTTCAAAATTTAATTCAAAATCGCCTGAATTCAATGATAGAACAGTGGCGTATTTAAAAAAACTGTGAGGATAAATACCTCAAAGATCAAGACCCCAAAAAGCGAGCAATGTATCCAGAAATCACAGGGTAAGCTTAACCTCACAAGTTAAAGGTAGTGGCTCAGCAGAATGACAACTTTAGAATGTTCATCTTTCTTGACTGTTCTGGATGAGCTGAGTCTAAACTATGCTTTCAGCTTTTGAAGGTAGCAATGAATCGCTTTTCCAAACAAAGAAATTGCTGCTTGGACGAGCAGCGAAAGCTCGCTTTCTTGTAAAACGATTGGCTGCTAAAGCCAATAATCCGATTGCTGCTAAGATGAGTATGGTGCCTCCACCCATTCGCAGCCACGAGCTGATCGCTTCAAAGGGGGGGGGGGGAGGGCATTCGTCTTCCGCCCAAGCAGCACTTTTTACGTCTGAAAAAGCAACTTAATGATATCTTTTTAAGCTGCGAAACATAGTTTTAGACTCAATCTACCCGAGGAATCCTGAACAATAAATATTTTGATGTCGCCGACCTGCCGATCCGCTGCCCTTGAGTTATATACCTCGAGATAAACCTTAGCCCAAAAAACGATTAACACGTATTCACGAGCGCGCTTCATCAACGCAAATTTGACCTTGGCATAGGTCAATGTTAAACTTGCCTGAAATTTCGCATAGACAGGAAGTGATCTAGTCCAACAACAACCCATATTTATAACTAGCTGGCATGCGTGGCTTCGCCCTCACCGTGGGTTTGAAGGCAGTGATTCGGCAAAATGGACCCTTCTCAGGTCTTGTCACTGTCAAAAAGTGGATAACCCGAGTACGCAGCAGCCCCAATTCCACCTTCCGATTCTTGGTCTAAGCCCTGAGATCGTGCTTTGAACTTCCACCAATGCCACCTACTCATTGCAGGTGAGAGGGGCTGGTGGAGTTTTGGAGCAAGATTTCAGGACTTAGGCCATCAATTGGAAGACGGGATTGGGACGATAGCGTACTAGGGGTCTGCTATCTAACAATACCAAAATATGACAAGGTCCATTTTGCCAACCCACTACCTCTGAGTGGCTCAACAAAAAGCAAAATTGGAGCGCAACGCTAAAGGCCTAACTTATTCTGCGTTTTGGATCCTGTGTTTGCCGTGTAATACCGCAGATACCTCTTGACCTGGTTGCCTCAAATTAGCGCATATCCCTTATTGTGAATTGAAAATAAGTACTACCGCTGTTGTTTACGCAAAAGTTGATAGTAGTTTGATAGTGACTGATTGCAGTCCATTTTCCTTCAAAATCGATGAATCTATAGAAGGAGTAGGAATTTTGCCATGAAAAGTAGCCTACGGATGGGACGGCTTCGAAAGTGCAGAAGTTTCCATAAAGAACACAATAACTAACAATTTACCAACACTCAGCTTTTTAGATCGTAGATGTAGTGCAATATCTCAAATTTACTATGGCCTGTTTTCGTTTCGTCTAGTCATATCCAGCCAAGGTCGAGAAAAGGTGTGGTACACAAGCTGGATACGACCCCCGCTGAGTGTCTCGATAGACCCCTGCACTACCGCCTACACCGTAGGCGTAACATGAAGCTCTAACAAGAACAATGAGTGGCATTCACGTAATCGGCATGTCAAATAACCCGCTCGAGACTAATTTAGTGAATTTAAAGTAATTACTGGGGCACCAGTGGTGGACCGAGGGGTGGCGGGGGAAGGGGGGAAGACCCCCCCCCCAGAGAGCGGCTCGCGAAATTTTTAAAATTTACTTACATGGGTTATAAAAATGTGCAAGTGACTTGTTTATTCTTGTAAATAATTAAAATAATTTTTAAAATTGTTTAAAAATTCAAAATAGCCTTGTAAAACAATTTTCGGGGGCGTGGCGTTAGCCTTTTCAAGATTTTGGGGATTATGGACCCGCAAAAATTTTGCCGGAGCGCGCAGCTGACGCCACGCACCTTCATTTGAAAAAAATTTGCTCCCTCCTCCTCCCCCGGTCCGAAATCCTGAGACCGCCATTGTGGGCCACCTAAGTGAAATGTTCACTTTCAAGCATGATTGAATTTGTTTTAAAGGTGAGTTAACAACCCTTACTGTACAAAGCACTATTCCAAATTGTCCACAGGGAAAATCCTAATTCGAGAAACCGCCAGCCTAAGAATTCTATCCAAAATCTTGTTTGTTCCACTTTCACAGCAGTATAGTTTGATTGAAAAACATAGGAAAAACTCACGAAGTCCCGGTAAAGAATAAGAAGTATTATAAAGCCAACACCAACGGGAACTATCACTGGTGAAAGGGTCCATACGCCACCTCTCCATAAAATTATTACATTTTTCCTGAAACAATCAAGAGGTTTACCTGGGATCGGATCGAATGTAGTTGGGCGAAAACTATAAAAAATTGCAATCTTCGCGATGTCAATTGTAGGTCTACAGTCTATAAGGTATATTAATTGGAAACATAAAGCGAGGTAGAACTTTTAATGTCAAAAGCATCTCTCGGATATAGATGCAACGCTGCTAATCCCACACATCACGAAGAATCTCGGAAAGTAGCAACGCCAGGCATCTTTTGCATTCGAAAATCGCCGCCTGCACCGCACGAGACAACGCATTCTAGATGCAACAACGACCAGTAGATGCTGGCCCCTGTTATCCTCTATGGTGCAAAAAATGCCGTCTTACTTGGAAGTATTGGCTCCAATGTCTACGTCACTTGGTGATATCATCATCAGTGTTCATCCATCAGCTAGACCACTTGCAGTTTTTTGCCTCTACCATTGGTTTCAAATAGACCGTTTTCTATTTACTCCGCTTTTGATGGCATGGGCAAGAGATCCATGTGGTACTGGACAATTTTATCCACTATTATGGGTGCAGGATGCTCGGGCTGGTGTTAGCTCGTTAAAGCTTTTTTCTTACGCAGATTTTCTAGATTCCGCCTCTACCATATGTATTTCATTATAACAACGCGCTAAAGCCCTTTTTGTGGGTATGCGTGTGCCTATATGAAGTCTGACGAGATTTATGGAGCGAACTGCAGCCAAGATTTCGGGCGACTTTTACGTAGATCACCCTATATGCATATAGGTTCTGTATGCACAAAAACGAGCGGGTTCGATGCTTGGTTTTCCCAAAGATCGTATGTCGAACGGGTCATACGCTTATAGCCAACAAATTGGGGTCCGCTGTTAGACTTTTTGAAGTGCTACTTTTGTAAGTCCGTTTAGTTTGCAAAACTAAGTCATGGACTTCGCTTCAACAACCAAACAAGAAAGTACCATTTTTCGACAAAAGCGGCTAGAAAGAAATGATTCCTTTGATATCGTTTTGTCTAGGTAGTATGCGAATTGAAGGGATTTTTGCTTAGAAATGTAGTCATATTATTGGCATAATGGTTAAGGCAACAATCTAAGCGAAGTTGGTTTATTGAATTCAAATTCACTTTTTTTTGTTCCGCTGGAAATTTTCCCTTTTGTGAATTGGTTGATTATACAGGAAGGCACGAGGAAGTCATACACCAGTAGAGCCAGAGGTGCTTCTGCCGCAGAGATGTACTGGCCAGTGCTTCACCTTTGCTTGGCAGAGAGTGGAAAACTCGGCGCCAAAACGTAAAAGCGAATTTGAATAGTTGACAGTTGCCAAGATGACAGTAACTGCCGTGATACATCACCGAGCAGAAATCTTCTCAAATTTCTACGTTCCTTTACGTTCGTTTCCTCAAATTCCTTTGCTAATCAACCACCCACGCAATAATTCTTTTTTTGGGGCAGCAGAATATGGTTTTTGATTTTATTTCATGCAAAAGTCGTTGGATCAAAGATACACAAACAGAAAAAAAACAATAGTCTTGCGAAAAGTCTAAACACAGATCAGTTTTCTAGGTTAAAAGCAGCAGATATCTAGCCGCAAACGCACAGTTCCCGAGATTTCCAATCAACGAATTGGCTTGTGGTTTTGCAGTGTGGACGACCATGCTCATGAGGTGCTACGACCAAAGTTTTAGCCTTGGCTAGAACTTACTCTGCGAATTTCGTAACGGACCGACAGTCACACAAAAAACTCGTAAACAACCCTTAGCTCGTTATTATATACCAGTGGTGCCTCAACTCTGCTTCGCAGAGGCTCGCACTGGAATGGTTCCTTCATACTACGCCGCGAGAAGCGTCAGCGTCACGCGTTTGCTGCGTACGCCGCAGCCTGCCGCGTCCTGCGACGTGCGCTGCAAAGCGCAACGTATGTCGCTGCAGTTTGCAGTGGAAATACGCCTATGGCAGCACAGTTTTCCTGTTTGTCGATGTATCTCCAGATCTGCTGCGCGTTCGTGTTCTTTGAGAATACTTCCCCAGTGCTTGCAATCTTTTTCTTTTCTTTTACCTCGAATCGCTGTCGACCAAATGTACCTTCATTAGGATTTTGATTCTATGTGCGCCCTCGATTCCAAGAAACTTATCTCGCTTTTGTTGTCGTCGATGCTACTTCGTCTAATTCTATTCATGAGGTATTAGGTGACGTTTGTCGCTTTACCGAAACCCATTCATCGAGCAATGTATTTGTATAAGAGACTTTTAGCAACGACAAAACACTAGAATCAGATTATGCAGATTGCAGTTCATGATGATGCAAACTGTCATCAAGAGTCAGCAAAATCAAGAGTCGAGAAAGCACACGAGTTAATGAGTGAAGAAACATTTGATCAACGATGAGACAAGCTAAAAGGGAAATAGACTGCAAACTGTGAATGGATACTCTTGGAGAACACAACGAGCAGCAGATATAGAAATACATTGATGAAGAGCGTGTACTAAGCGTATCCTCACCGCGACTGTAGCGGCGTACACAGCGCGCGCAGTAGGCTGACGCGTTTTGCGGCGTAGTATGGAGGAACCCTAATATCTACGAAAGTCCAAATGGAAAAAAATGAGCTTTCAAACGGATGTAGGACGATTCGCACGACCGTAAAGGGCCGGGGAAGGAAGGGCATACCTCACGCGAATTCCGATTTGGCAACTCACCAAAACTCTCAGATCCAACACTAGCAGACTGCACATACATAGTGAGCATAACTTACGTGGATTAATGAAATGCCCTATTTTTCGTACATTTAGAATGTGCGAGTGGACAGTTGAGATATTGCCAAATGCCGTGAAGTATGCTAGGCCCTTGATGCGTTCCACACAGGATCACCACAGTGCGTTATGGACAGTTGAGATATTGCCAAATGCCGTTATGTTAGGCCCTTGTTGCGTTCCACACAGGATCACCACCGCGCGCGATACACCCTGCGGCGGCTTTTGTCTAATATAAGCAAAGCAAGTGAGGGAAGATTTGCGGCGTGCGTGATGTGTTAAGACAGGTCAGGGCGGCTTTGGAGACCGTCCTTGCAAAAAGACCGCCTCCTCTTTTAAACCCCATCTTATTCGTTAGGTCGAAAGTTGCTTTCGCTTGCGTTACAAAATTTTTATCCCACCGAAACCAAGAGGCAAAGCGGTGTAATTAAAATAAATCAACCTTACTGAGCTCTCGCGTGCGAAAGAATCATCCGAAAAGTCCATTTAGAATGGGGCAAAATGGGATTTAGCTCCATGTTAAATAGACTTGAAAGCCCATTTTACTCCCAGCAGCAAAGTGGACTAACGCTAAGCTCCTTTGTCTTTTTTACGCATTTTTGATTGCGATTTTTTAAGAAGCTGTTCCTTAGCCTTATTTTGAGGTAATACATGAGTGGAAGTTCCTCTTTCATGAATTCCAAATAGTCGATGCGAGAATTTCTGTGTAAATTGAATACTCTTCATATCATCAACCAAAACTAATTGCACAATTTGACTAAAAAAGATTTGCGTCTTAAAATCGTTGCTCAAAAGCTATGTTCTGACTGGTAACGTAAAAGCGACCCTCAAGATGGTACTCTGAAATTCGCGATTTTGAGTTTGGTTGCAACAAATACTAGAGTGCCGCTAGTTAGCTAGAATTATTTTGTAAAAACTAATTCCTACTAGCAATAGTCCATATAGTAGTCCGGTCTCAATCTCGTATGGAAAATTTTGAAAAATAAAGCATAAGTCATTTAATAGAAAAAATATCCCTAATACAGATTTTATCACCGAAAACACTATTTGATCTTCTATATAAGTAGTTACTAGGTCATATTCTGTTTTGGCTTATATTCTTACCAGTGCGTCACCTCTGCTTCGCAGAGGCTCGCACTGGCCCTACTATCTGTGTGCCTTACTCATTCTCGTAGAATTGTGGCACTGGAACTCACCGCGCTATGCCGACTACCACGAATAAAATGTAAACAACTACTCATTTAAAAAGCTTTTTCACGTGAGATCGGTGATTTCGCGTGGATGGAACTTTTCACAAGAAGACAAACGCAAATTTGGATAGGTTTTTGAATTTGTCATGGCTTGGTAGTCGCCATAAAGGCAATAGTAATCGTGAGCTACATCTCTGTGCGAAAATCTTCTGAAATGCTTGGCTAGAACCTTGGCAAATTGACGATTTACGCAACCAACTCTTTTTAACGCCGTTTTCGTTATGTAGTAAACTTTTGACCACTTTTTGGGTTTAAGTCCATGGTTGCACATTTACTGACCAAACACACCCACGACTTTGTAAAAAGTGGTGGTACGGACCCAATTTTGCGGGACAGAAGCCAGGTGGATCCGTTTGGCGCAGTTTTTGAGGGATCCACTCAACGAATCTACTCGTGCTTTTGCATGTTGGACTTTCATGAAGATAGCATGCGCTACGCAAGATTTGGGCTTAGAACACTGGCTGGAACACGCTCTACGAATTTCGTAACAGACGGACGGACGGACGGACGGACGGACGGACGGACGGACGGACGGACGGACGGACGGACGGACGGACGGACGGACGGACGGACGGACGGACGGGGACACACACACACACACACACACACACACACACACACACACACACACACACACACACGTGCGCGTAAACAACCCCTAGCCCGTTATCATAAGGTTTCGATGATTGTCAAGATCAAAGTTGTTGTTTATGGAGGTTGTAATCCCAGTCAAAATGTGCAAATGCTACTTGCGAGGACTTACGCACAGAAAATCTACGAAATCACGAAACTTGCTTAATTCGAATGTGATTTGACTTTCAACCCTTGCATTTCTCACAAGCTAGTCTCCCAGATGCATTTGGATTGATGCGTTGTGATGATCGATACAATGTCTGGCTCATTAGGTTGATTTGCTATGCAAAACACCACCTTTTCTCGTTTGGTCCGCTTCGCTCTAAACTGCGAATGAGCATTTATCGTAGCTTGTCTTTGTGGTATCTTTGCAAGACTTTTCCCAGCTGAGGAATTAGCGTTTTTGCTAGTACTACTTTGCCGGATTTCTTCGTAACCAGTTGAAGGACCAAAAGTTTTGCAATTCAAGTCTGGCGGATCGTTATTATTGACATTTGTTGCCTCTACCTCGCTTACTATTTAAAACGTATATCTCGAAAGTGACCTACAACTTAGACATCGCGAAGATTGCTGGGTGACGTGTTCCTTATGAGGCAAGTCCCATTTAGCTTTGTTCCCATCAGTACATAGGGCTATTCGAAGACGAAAGATTGGTTCAATGGCAAAACTTTGCGTCACTCAAATTACAAATTTTAACTGTAAATGTAAAATTCCTTTTCGCTTTCTTCAACACTTTTCGCGCTCTTGTTAACGCAAGCGGGGAAATTCTAATTCAAAAAGCTGGTCTTCCCGCGCACGAACCGCTGATAAGGAGACGCTGATGTACACAAAGCGTCTACCATATGGAACTCCTTATGCCGAATTATGGTGAATAAGTTTAGATAAAGGGAAGATATTAGGGTACTGGGTTGTGTTTTTATCACAACAGAAAACAAACTACGAAGTTGCGTACACTCCCAATACATTCCCAAAAAAGCTGAAAGAGTAAATCAAGGAGAGTTCCTTGGTAGTTAACAGTTTCTGAAGTCAAAGTTGTGAAGGTTTGATGTGCAGTACGCATATTAAGTTACTTTTTAGTTAACGATACAATCTAGCTGCACAGGAGCAAAGTTCATTGCGTCTACGTGGGCTCCTAATTCATGTGTATCCATGCTGGTGTGAAGTATCATCATCTATCATAACTTACTAGCTGATCTGCCTGGTCCAGCCCGGGAAACCACTGATCGGGAATGAAGATAAGGTATTCGGTGGCATTGTAGAAACTGTGTAAAGAACAAAAACAAAATGTGAACACTTATTAGTCGGTAGCATATCTCTCTTTCTCCAAATCATGTTCAACACGCAAAACCTGCAAGCAGCGCGGGTTAATTAATAGCAGCGCTCATTGTTATTATGAGGATCATTTTTTGTGACACTTTGCCGTTAACCGGCTACTTCATCTTCATTCACTGCTTGCCGTCAATTTTTGTGGAGTCGGCAGTACTTTGCACTCGCGCACTTTCCTGGTCCCAGGGATCAACTATAGCGAATGTGAGTTGTCGCTTGTCTTGACATTATTTCTGGTATTGACAAATAATTTGTGCGCAATCTCATGAAAAATTTTGACCCCTCATTGTTTAAATTGAGCATGTAACGAAGAAAGCTTTGATTATAAGCGTAAATTGAGCACCTTCCGTACAAAACACTCGCTACAAAGCACTCATGGTCTCTTGCACGCTAAGGTTTCCGCAGCATAAAATACATTTAGTGCATCCATTTAAATGAGCAATTGAGACTCACATCAAGAACACTTTTCACTGCACTTCGTCAACAGAAGTTCACAATGAGACATGCCAGCCTTGTTTACATACCCCTGTTTTGATAGCAAATGATAAGAATCATTTTTATCGCAAAGTGCTGCAAATCAATAAATCGATAGAAGGACCCAACGAATCGCTGCAAAAAGTAGCCTATCATCTGCGCAAGGCTCGAAAACATATGTGTGCAAAGTTTCAGCTTAATCGGTTGAGCGGCGCGCGTTTCTATAACGCACATACCCTCCAAACTGACAATTTTTGAGTTTTATATATATATAGATAATAATGGGCCAAGGGTTGTTTACGTTTGTGTGTGTGTATGTGTGAATTTCTGTCTGTCATGAAATTCGTAGAGCGAGTTCCAGCAAAGGTCTTGAGCTAGAATTTTGATAGCAGCACCCTATCGGCAGGTAGGTAAAATGTGCAAAAGCACAAGCCGATCCGATAATTGGAACATGTGAAATTGTGCGCCAAACGGATCCACGCGACATTTCGCGCGCCGCCTGTAATCGGACTTCTTTCAAAGTCATGGTTTCGTTTAGCAAGTAAATCCGCAAACCATGGACCCTAGCCCGAAAAGTGAGCAAAAAGTTTACTTTCGCACAAGATCGGCGCCAAAAGGGAATAATTGCGCAGATGATCGATTTATCAATGTTTTACCTGGGAATGCGGGACAATTTTTGCTCAGAGATGTAACTCACGGTTGCCATCATCTTTATGGCGAGTATCAAGTCATTATAACCCCAATAACTGATTCAAAATTGCATTTAATCTTTTGAAGAATACTTTCTTTCCCTTAAAGTCACCGATCTTACATGAAAAAGCTTTTGGAATGAGTAGTTGTTTACATTTCATTCTTGATAATCGGCATCGCGAGGTAAGTTTCAAAGCCATCATTTTGCGACTACGAGGTTGGTATATGGATAGTACAGCCAGTGCGAGCCTCTGCGAAGCAGAGGTGACGCACTGGTATATATATAAAACTCAAAAATTGTCAGTTTGGAGGGTATGTGCGTTATAGAAACGCGCACCGCTCAACCGATTCAGCTGAAACTTTGCACACATATGTTTTCGACCCCTGCGCAGATGATAGGCTACTTTTCGCAGCGATTCGTTGGCTCCTTCTATCGATTTATTGATTTGTTTACGTTTTTCTAGGGAATTGAGAGTTTATCATGTTCAATCAAGCATTTTACCATAGTCTGTAAAGAAGGGCGGTGAAGCTCATTTTCATCTCAGGATCACGAGGATGCGGTTTCGAAGCGGGTTCCAGGGTAAGTCATCCACAACATATAAGAAGGTGGGGGGGGGGGGGGACTTGCAGTGCAGGTGACTAATGGCCCGGGCTGGACCGGGAAAGCCAACTAGTAACTTATAATAACGGGCTAAGGGTTGTTTACGTTTGTCTGTGTGTGTGAATCTCTGTCTGTCACAAAATTCGTAGTGCGAGTTCCAGCCAACCTTCTGGGCTCAAATTTTGAGCAGCGCATGCTACCCGCATGAAAATCCAACACGCAAAAGTACGAGCAGATTCGTTGAGTGGATCCCTCAGAAACTGCGCGTCAAAAGGATCCACTTTACGTTTGGGCCGCAACTTTAGTTCCTAATTGCACTTTTTACGGAGTCGCGGATGTTTGTGCCAAGTGAATGTGCAAGTCGTGAACTTAGGACCAAAAAAGTGATCAAAGGTCCATTACTTTACAAAAACGGCGCTAAAAAACATTGGTTGTAATTGGTCAATTTGCCAAGGTTCTACCGGAGCATTTGACGAGATTTTTGCACAGAGATGTAGCCCAAGGTGACATTGAATCTTATGGCAAATGCCAAGCCATGAAAACTCCAAAAATCGATTCAAATCAGCATTTGTTCCTTTGGGAGAAGTTTCATTTACGCGAAATTACCGATCTCATATGGAAAAGCTTTTAGAATGAATAGTTGTTTACAAATCATTCGTGATAGTCGGCATAGCGCGGTGAGTTTCATGGTCACTTTTGTGTGGGAATGAGTAAAGCATACAGAAAATAAGGCCAGTGCGAGCCTCTGCGAAGCAGAGGTGACGCACTGGTAAATGAATATTCCGCTAGTAACAAGCACACGCCATTCTGGATATACTTGATCCACTTCATCCAGTGCGCTATTGGTCAGATCGATGAAGTGACCAATAGTGCAGTGGATGACGGTGACCAAGTTGACTGGATTAAATGGCGCGTGCCATACGGTTCAAGAGCAGGAAATAGCAGCAATACGACGATATCTCTTGCTTTCCGTGAGTTTTGGATCAAAACTTAGACAACTGCTACATCCAAATTCCGTCCTACGAGTATAACCACAGTCGCTACGCCTTGTCTCATCACCTTTTTTGGCCAAGAAACTCTCGAGACAGTGGAAAGACATTCAAGGTAATACTCGTATTCGTTCGATTACATTGAGTGAGGCGATCAAAGCAAACTAACATGAAAAGTAGCCAAGTCTTTCGCATAGATGTGATTGCCGCTAGAGCTGTGTAGAATAAAGAAATGGAACATACCGTAATGTCATTCATGAAATAAATATGTAAGAGTGAAGTTTACAAGTTTTAGAAGTTAAAGTTGTTAACGAGGGAATGGTCAGAACTCAATCTAGCCATTCCAACATCGCACTCATCTAGAAAACGCCGATTTCATCTATTCGATATTTGGGATTTATTTGCACTCAAGTGCACTAATAGCAATGACGCCAAGTGTAAACGATGAAAGTGCACAACAGAAAAGTCGAGTACAAAAAATACTGAAAGAAGTGGTAGAAAGAAGAACAATCAAAACACCAACATTAACAACAAAGCCCGCTATGCTCCTATTAAGCCTACAGCTGACTTTCATTATTGCCGTTGTTCTACTAAAATATGATAATTACACATGTAGATATTCGATATGACAAAGCAGCAACTGATCGTACACTATCACCATTGGTTACCGAAAGCCCATTCGCCTGGTTTGGCCCAGTCGCCTTGGTTGTGGAGAAACCAAGGCGAAAAGCCCAAACCATGCCTGTCTGATGTTAGAAATCACCACATGATCGATTTCAAAAAAAATTCTTGCTCGCTTTTACACTCTCAGGTTTTTGAGGAGTAATAGTAACGACCGTAGACGATTATAGCATCGGCATTCAGTTGCTGCATTTAAGTGCACCCGGAATGGTATTACTTGAAAGATTTTCATTTTTAGCTTCAATTTGGAGACTCTAATGAAACTTCAATGATTAGCCTTTTTCTTCGACATCAGAATGTTGAATTAGATTCAAACATTATACTTTTCATTTTTGATTAAATTTGAATGTAAGCGACACCAAATTTCTTACGACTATAGGTACTTGCAACTCACACTCAAAAGCAGAAAGACCAATACACAGTTTTTTAACACGTTGGCAACTGAGCCATTTTGCGTGAAACAGTAATGTTTCTCGCGCAGCCCTGCAGATGCGCACAAAATCATTATTTGAGAATCTTTTTGACTTCCTTTCGTAGTGCGGATTCTTTCCAGAAATACATGCATATCACAGGGCCTCAATCAGGAGTTTTGCATTGCTTTCTTGTCCGTGAAACCGTACAATGGCTATGTTTGGCGAGTCTCCCTTCGAGAAAGGCGTTATAATATTAGGTGTTTTTTACTTGATTCTCTTTGAACGTAATTAATATATATGCACCAGTGGCGTACCGAGAGGCGGAGGGGCCCCCCCCCCTCCTCGGTACGCCCCGAAAATGGGTCGCAAAATTTTTGAAAGTTACTTAAATGTGTTATAAAAAAGTACAGAGGATTTGTTTTTACTTGTAAATAATTAAAATAATCTTTAGAAATTTTTAAAAATTCAAATTAGCTTTGTGAAAAAAAATTTTTCTGGACGTGGTTGTCGCGACGCCCCTTTTTTCTGAAATTTTGGGATCAGGGGCCCGGAAAAATTTTGTAAAGCATCCCAAAAAAATTTTCGGAGTGCGTGGCTACGCCACGCACCTTAATCTGAAAATTTTTTTGTCGCCTCCCCTCTCCCCTCCCCCCCCCGCCGCCCCGAGCGGAAGTCCTAGGTACGCCACGATATGTACATACAGTGACCGCCAAAAAGTGCGGACAAGCCGCCCTCCTTTTTTCGTCGCTCATTTTCACATGGAAAACAAGGATGAAAAAACATTGGATTGCACGAGATGATAGAGCTCTTCAAAAACTACAACCCACATATTACGCTTTTTGGAAAAGATGGATTCTAAAAAAGTTAAAAATGTTTTACCAAAAAAGTCTGAAAATGGCGCGCCACAAAGTCGCGGACAACAATACTTCGAACGGGAAAATTCTCTTTTGGGTCCTTTTTCAAGGTAAACTCAAGTAATCCGAACAAATAAGCATGCTATCATACAGAGCTCATCAAGGGCTATTACTTGACAATGGCTACTTCTTGAAAGAGCAAAAGTCAGATTTTATATTGCACTAGCTGATCTGCCCGGTCCAGCCCGGGAAATCACTGATCGGGAATGAAGATAAGGTATTCGGTGGCATTGTAGAAACTGTGTAAAGAACAAAAACAAAATGTGAACACTTATTAGTCGGTAGCATATCTCTCTTTCTCCAAATCATGTTCAACACGCAAAACCTGCAAGCAGCGCGAGTTAATTAATAGCAGCGCTCATTGTTATTATGAGGATCATTTTTTGTGACACTTTGCCGTTAACCGGCTACTTCATCTTCATTCACTGCTTGCCGTCAATTTTTGTGGAGTCGGCAGTACTTTGCACTCGCGCACTTTCCTGGTCCCAGGGATCAACTATAGCGAATGTGAGTTGTCGCTTGTCTTGACATTATTTCTGGTATTGACAAATAATTTGTGCGCAATCTCATGAAAAATTTTGACCCCTCATTGTTTAAATTGAGCATGTAACGAAGAAAGCTTTGATTATAAGCGTAAATTGAGCACCTTCCGTACAAAACACTCGCTACAAAGCACTCATGGTCTCTTGCACGCTAAGGTTTCCGCAGCATAAAACACATTTAGTGCATCCATTTAAATGAGCAATTGAGACTCACATCAAGAACACTTTTCACTGCACTTCGTCAACAGAAGTTCACAATGAGATATGCCAGCCTTGTTTACGTACCCCTGTTTTGATAGCAAATGATAAGAATCATTTTTATTGCAAAGTGCTGCAAATCAATAAATCGATAGAAGGACCCAACTAATCGCTACAAAAAGTAGATTATCATCTGCGCAAGGCTCGAAAACATATGTGTGCAAAGTTTCAGCTTAATCGGTTGAGCGGCGCGCGTTTCTATAACGCACATACCCTCCAAACTGACAATTTTTGAGTTTTATATATATATATAGACCAGTGCTTCACCTCTGCTTCGCAGAGGTTCGCACTGGATATCATGAACCGTGGTAAACTCGCTATCTCAGAGCTTGTCCCTCAAATCATTGTTCGGTTGACTGCAACGTGGGAGCCGTAGTTAAAAATGAACCATACTCGCTATCTCAACCTCGCATGCTGTTTATTATTGTAAATCATTCCTCACTGTAATTTCGTAACGGACAAACTCCACACAACTTCAGATTAAGCCGCTTATTATAAGTCATGATTATTTTGAAATTAACGTTTAATTCGCTCTTCCATACCAAATTTCTTCACCTAAAATCTTATGCAAAATATTTAAACGTGTGCTAGTGAGCTTCCTTGCTAGAAAAACCTTTTGGAAGTGCGTGCACATGACCCCACCTGCACCTCACCGCTGACTTGCACCGTTTTACAGGCTTGTAGCTCTTCCTCCAGGGTTTACACGAGCCTGCAATCAGACTCATTCGAAAGAGCTGACTTCCTCGACACGATGATATGCAAACGTGCTGAGTTTGGAGAGTCCCAGAGATTTGAAGGACGTGGTGGAAAAGCGCTGCTTTTGTGGTAGGCTTAGGAATTTTCAGCCAAAGTTGAACAGAGCTTCTTTCGCTACCAGTTCCATCCTGGAAGTCCGAAGCGGTTAAATTTCTTGTATTAGATCCATTTCGAAGCTTTAAGACTGTTCTGTTGTCACTGGCGTTGTTTTTGGGGGTCACTGTATAAATATATACAGTGACCGCCAAAAAGTTGCGGACAAGTCACCCTCCTTTTTTCATCGCTCATTTTCAGGTGGAAAACAAAGATGAAAAAATTATTGGATTGCATTTTGTGATAGAGCTCATCAAGAGCTACAACCCACACATCGCGCTTTGTGGAAAGCGTATACTATAAAAATTTTGCAAATCTTTTTCTAAAAAAAGTCCGAAAATGGCCGCGTCACAATGTTGCCGACAATAATTCCTCGTACGCAAAAATTTTCTTTTAGGTCTTTTTTGGATTAAAAACAGTAGTTTTCCGGACAGGCAAGCATACTATATTGTGAAGCTCAACGAGGACAGTAGTCGGGTAGTGGTTACTTCCAAAAAACCCAAGCTTGAATTTTATTTTGCTTTTCTTCTTATTACCTTTTTCAAGCCAAATTTCTTCACATGAAAACTTAATCAAGACCTTCCAACAAGGTCATTCGGATAAAATGAATCGAAAGAGCGTGACTTTCTCTAGAGGACATTATGCAAATGAGTTGAGTTTGAGAAAATTCGAAGATTCTACGGATAGAGTGAAAAAGCGCAGCTTCAGTGTAGGCTAAGGATTTTTTAGCTAAAGTTGAGACAAGCCCCTTCGGCCACCAGTTCCATTCTAGAAATTCAAAACTGTCAGTTTTCTTGTATCACCCATCCGCAAAATCTCCGGTATTGCTCAAACTCAGACTACTCGCATATCATCGTGTCGAGGAAGTTATGCTCTTTCGAATGAGCCTAAAACAGGCTCGTAGGATGACTGCCGGCGGAGCTACAAGCCTGCGAAGCGGTGCAAGTCAGTGGTGAGGTGCAGGTGGGGTCAAGTGCACACACTGTTCAAGAGCCATTTTCAGCAAGGAAAATTACCAGCACACGTCTGATGCATAGAAGATGGCAAAGAGATGAGGTGCAGGTGGGGTCGTGTGAACGCACTGTCGAGAGCCATTTTCAGCAAAGAAACTCACCAGCACACGTCCGATGCATAAAGGGTGGCAGAGAGCATTCACTTCATCTGAACAGCTCTGTTAGGATGTTTTGGAAGGCTTTCCTTGTGAAGAAATGTGACTTGAAGAAGGTAGTTAGAAGTTGTTTGTGAAAAAAAGCAACATAAAATTCAAGTTTGGATTTTTTTGGAAGTAACCACTACCCGATTATTGTCCTCGATGAGCTTTACAATATAGTATGCTTACCTGTCCGGAAAGCTACCGCATTTGATCCAAGAAAAAACCTAAAAGAAAATTTTTGCGTACGAGGAATTACTGTCCGATACATTGTGACGCGGCCATTTTTGGACTTTCTTTAGAAAATTTATGAAATTTTTGTAGTATATGCTTTCCAGAAAGCGCGATGTGTGGGTTGTAGCTCTTGATGAGCTTTATCACAAAATGCAATCCAATAATTTTTTCGTCTTTGTTTTCCACCTGAAAATGAGCGATGAAAAAAGGAGGGAGA